AAATTATTGTGATGATAAAAGTTTTATATTTCTTTCCTATTAAATAAAAAATTAATACCTATTTACATAAATGGACTTTTTGACCACTTTAATGCAAAAAATAAAATATATCACATGTTTAATTATTTTGGGAGATTATTTATCCATTCAATGCGAGTGAAACACGTAGAGGGAGTATGCTTGTTTAAGTAGCGCATCACCTCCATATGTGACTTTTGTAAAAATCAACACAAAACAAGATGCGTATCTTAGCATTGCGTGATCAAGTCGTGCACTCTCCCGAGGCATGTTTTATAAAGCACAACAAGTGATAGACACTTTTTAGATTTTACACAAGTCGCACATGGAGATGATATCCGATTTAAATGCGCACACTCCCCATGCGCGTTCACTCGCATTAGATGGATAAATAATTTGTCAAAACAAATTAAACTGATGATATTTTTTATTTTTTACACTACAAGGGTAAAAAAGCCAAAGAAACGAGATTTTATATTTTGTTAATAGAAAAAACTCTTCACATGACATGTTTATTTATTAGCCACCCGATATGCAATTATGCATCATACCAAGAACAGAACTTTTCGGAGAAAAAAAGTGTTGTTCAGGAGGATTTTGGGCCCAATTATGCCGAAGTTTAATATTCAAGTCATTATAAATCAAGTGATTATTGAGTTTTGTTCTTTCACAAAAACTCAATTGAAATTCATATATATTCTACACTTATAGTTATCAGTCTAAGAAGGTCTTCACTTTGTAGTAACAGAGGCTGAAGTAAGGTCATCTCCCTGAAAAATGAGAGAGTGCTCACACATTGTCCCATTCCCCTTAAGAAATAGTTTAGAAGGTCTGCCGTCAACCAGCTATAAGAAAATTGTTTGTGTTGTAACATGGTCGAGATCAGTTCGTGAAGGGATTCTACACACAAGGAGGTCGCTTATAGATCTGCGCTTAAAGAGGTATGTCTTGTGTGTTACTGAGACGATGATGATTCAGTAAACATATTAATGTATTAGGTCTTAAATCGCTTCTGCGTAAATCCAATAGTTTCAACAGTAATTACCTAGTGAGAAGAATGTTGGACCACGTTTACAAATGTGAACTGCATGTGATTGTACTAAAAACCCATTTAGATAAATTAGTGACATACCTATTTGTATATATTTATGATGATGATTAAGCATGCAATCGCGTAATTCATGAATGCAATGATTGTAATGTATTTATGTGCTATTCTGAAAACAAATGAATTAATAATTGATTATAATCAATTGTTGATTCATTAATCAAACAATGCACATTATTAACGGAAAACTTACATATCATTATTCAACGTGTAAGAGTGATATGCGACTATATATAGTGGTTGAGTACCTTTTTTATTGAAAAAATTTGGGTATGAGAACTTCAAAGTTAAGTAGTTTATATGACAAACTCATACAATTCCTTCACTTATCTATTTTGACTCACTTCATGCCTACTTTCTCTTTCGCGCAATCTCTTTCAATGGTGATTTTTAAAAAGGTTTCACCCAACTTTTACATTCAAGTCACCTAATTTGTGTCCACAAAGCCACACTAATATTTTGTTCTTAAAATTTGTCCACAATACAAGAAAAAAATGACTAGTGCACACATGCATTATGTGAACTCTTAGTAAAAGTCCCATCTATTAACTACTTTTGTGAGTGCAAGAGATTAAAGGAAAGAAAAAAAAAAGTCAAGGAGTAGTAATAAATGATGCTCAATTATTTCTAGAAAATTTCAATGTTTCACAAGAAGAATGCTATATTGTACGAAAAAAAGGTTTAACAAGTACCAGGTCATTACGATTTACGTGTAATGCTCAAAATGCAGCGGTGTGCTGATTACACAGTGATTTTAGTAAATGATTAACGGTCAATTTTCTCTCTCTCGCTATCTCTTTTGGAAAATGCCAATTTTCATTCGTAAATGATTTCAAAAAAATGTTTTCATTGTATTCAGCATTTATTCATAATACTTTACATGTAATTCTCATATGGGACATGAGTGATCAGACTCACTCCTCTAATATTGATTCATGATTTGTTTTTGTTCTCCTAGTTATAATAACGTTGGTAAAAATGAGTCAACTCGTCGGTTCGTAACTCGTAAAAAGTAAGTCGGGTTGAGTAGGCAAAAATGAGCTGTCAACCCGACCCGAGCCAGGTTGAAAAAAAATGAGCCAACCTGCGGGTCAAACGGGCCAGCTATCAGGTTGAGCTTTTTTTTATAAAAAAATAAAAAAACATAATATATAAAAATAAACAAAACCCACACACGCTATTATCGCCTTTCTTTCTTCTCTAAACCTAAGTCCCTAATCTTCTCATATCGCTGCCATTTTTTTATTGTTAACATGTGCTGGCTCTGCTTGGTTCAAATATCTTATCCACTTAGTAGCAAGTGGTTCTAATTGCTTTTTGATGTTGATGCAAATTTGTTGTGAAGAAAATTTGAAACTAAAACATTTTGCTTTTACTTTTTATTCTGTAACTTTCTATTTTGCTTTTTTTATAAACTATTCTGTAAGACAATTGTATTGTTTAAGCTGATGGAAGTCGCATAACCAGTGCATTAATACTACAGGTTCATTTAAATAGGCTGAAAATGAGCCAACTCGCGAGCCATTTTTGAGCCAACCCACAAGCCATTTTTTGAGCCAACTCGCAAGCTATTTTTTCAAGGCAACCCACGAGTCATATTTTTGAGCCAACCCTAACCCGGCTCGGGTCGGGTTGGGTTGGATTTTCTGGCTCATTTTTTTTTTCGAGCCAACCCTAATCCGGCTTATTTTTTTCGGGTTGAGTTGGGTTGACCCGTTTGCCAACCCTAGTTATCAACATCACAAAAATAAAAAAATTAAAGAAAAACAATACAATTACGTAAAAATGAAAAGAAAAAGAATTATCAATTACACACCAGTACTAATACGCCAACTTAACATTTTAATAATAAATTAGAAAAACAAAGTTAAATAGAGTATGTATTGTAATGTACATATTTTATCATATAAAAAGGAAATATAAAAAAAATATTGTGCAATATATATATATATATATATATATATATATATGGGGTAAATATTTCTACAGCCACTTTAGATAAGGCTATCTACAATTACCCTTTATAATTATGTACTACCGGTAGTCTATAGTTATAACCAATGTTAATAAAATCGGACCGGACCGGCCTGACCGGGTCGACCCGGGAACCGGTAAATCGGTCATATAACCGGTCTAGGTGAAGCTACAGATCGGCCATGCATCAAAATCGGTGCGACCTTATGCAACCCAGTCGATTTTCATGAAAACCAGTGACCCGGCCCAGTCCAAAAAAAATCCAAAAATTAAAAAAAAATCATAATAGACATATTTGAATATTTTTTGCTTATTGACTTACATAAGTTATGTACCTACAACACTAATATTATCTCAATTATGCACTATGCAGGAAATTTTAATTTGATTTGTAGTTAGAGATATCATTTACTGAACCTGAAGCCCCGTATCACGATCATTATATTTTTGTTTGATCCTTTATTGGATAATAATGTGTGATTTATTATTTTTTATATTAAAATAATTGAAATTTTTATCATTTTTTTAGATATTTGAATATGTTTATAATTTTTTAATATAAATTATAGAATTGCATATAATTACCGGGTCATCGATTAACCGATTGGGTCATCGATTTTCACAAAAATCGGTCGGGTCGCACTGGTTCTGATGCATGGTCGTTCTGTTGCTTCATCCAGACCGGTTATATGACCGATTTACCGGTTCCTGGGTCGACCCGGCCGGGCCAGTCTGGTTTTATTAACATTGGTTGAACCAGTGACCCGGTGCCTCGACCAGGTCAGTGACCGGGCTGATTTTAATAACATTGGTTATAACATTAAAGTTGCTTTTTTTTCTCTCTTAAGTCACTTTTCAGAACCTTTCTGCTTACGTGGAGATACAAAAAAAAATAACTTTAATATTATAATTATATATTACCCGTAGTACATAGTTATAAAGGATAGCTGTGAATAACCTTATCTAAACTATAACCATTGGATGAACGGAAATCAAAGGCTGAGATGAGTAAGAGTTATAAGTCTTACTCTGGAGTCAAATGATTTCTCTCCTATATATATTAAGTCAACCTATAATTGGCTTCTCTTTATGCTCTTTAATAATGACAATCTTTTTATTATCATGAGCGATAATGCTCGATCTATATGTTTAGGAACTCAATCCTATTCGTTTTTCCTTTCACTTGTTACTATTGATTGATACGATCAAATTGATTAAAATGTAATGCACAACATATCACCTACAGCAATACACAAACCATACGAGAGAAGGGTGATAAGTATGTGGATATATATCTGCATAGAGCCTGACCACTAATTTAAGATCCCAGCTAGCACATACGTGACTCAGTTTAAGATCCCAGTAAACTTAAGCAACAGATTTCTTGTGATACAAAAGTTGTAGATAACAAAGTCATACCCAACTTAAGTTCAACTCACTACCTGCCCGGAAATATTGATAGTGGCAGCAAAGTTATCAACTATATGGTTCAAGGTACACGGACGTATTCATTAAGTTGATTGGCGTGGATTTAGTGTTCTTTATTTGAAGAAATAATTCATAGATAAACAACAATTTGCGTTTATATAAATGTAATTAGGAAAAAATTTATATTTTGACAAGATGGATTCAAGGAACCCTTTAAGTCTAAGCCAAAATAACTACTATACTTTCTTACACAAGACTGAACCTATGGGTCAGATCAATTCAATGAGAACAAATGATCAACTCCAAGCTCTAGCAAGGAGTTATTTGAGTTTGAGTTTTAGGAATGAAGAAAATAATATTGGAAAAGCCGTATGCAATATGAATCCAACAACACTCAAACCGGATTAAAACCAGCTTGGATAAAACACATACAAAATTCATCACTAATTCATATTACATGTTTATTTAATGTTTCCATTCTTATATTTATTACATTATATATTCTAGATATAGATATCATCTATAACCTAGTATTTTAATAACACTGCTATATATAGTTCAATGAGTTCAACCATGATTCCCCCCAGGGATCAACTCGGTAGATGATTCATTCCTGTGCCTCATTCGAGCTTTCTCTTCCACCATTTTGATGTACATGCCATAGACATAAGAGCAAAATCCCCAAATGCACAAAATAGTTGACACTGCCTTTAGACCACCAAAGGCATCTCTGAACACAACCACACCTCCTAACACATTCATGGACAACAATGCTGTCATGCAAATCCCCCCAGTTAGTGAAGATGTCAGAAAGACCATTCCTGCAGTGCCCATAAAGCAAAATTGCCAAGTCACTATGGTTGCCATAATAGTTACCCAATAAACAGTGGATCCCTTATCAAAAATTCTTTGGCTTTCTTCCTTCATTTCAGAAAATCCACCATCCCATATCATGCCTATGGTGGCCAATGTTGTTGCAGAAAACTCCATTATAAGCTGCATTTCCATTACCATTTCATAACAATACACCTTCTTAAAAACCTTCTCCATCACTGGCAAATATAATGCAAACAACAAACCTGCTCCAATTGTGCAACAAAAACCAATGAAGTATTCCTTTTGGGATATCCCAGTTGGTCTCTCATGACTAGAATCCAAGGCAAGAATGATGGAGGCCAAGGTAAGAAGGATTACACAATTAAGGTTTGAAAAGGTTATTTTTTGTTTCACAATAATGGCAGACAGAATAAGATTGAAAGCAAGTTGGGTTGATAGCACAAGAGCTGAGGTTGAGACAGGAAGATAAGCAACTCCCCATGAGATCAGAAGATTATTAAGCCCTAACATAATACCAACAAAAATTGATAAAAATAACACTTTTGGATTAAAATCAGTGAAAGGCTTTCTTTTAGTGAAACTAAAGATATAAGGAAGACAAATTGGGATGACCAAGAGAGGAAAGCCAGCACACTGAACCCAAGTTGAAACCCATTTGCTTGAACCTTTGTGGTTGAAATAATATTTAGAAAGCAAACTTGAAGAGAGTGAACCCACAAAGAGCAATAGGTAATTAATCACCAAAAGGGGCATGTACCTCTTGTTAGTGATGGACTTTTGATCAGCATGCAAAACCAGCTTTTTGTTGAGAATTGAAGAAGGTAGATTTTGATGTGCATCTTCTCTAACTCTTTCATCAATGGATTCAATATCACTTGTATCATTGTTCTTGGCATGGCCAACGATGAGAGATTGATGATGCATTGGTGGGGTTTCTGATGTAACCTCTATGAGTTTGAAAATGGAGAGATTTGAATTGCACAAAATGAAGTTACTCTACTCTCTCCATGGATGTGCATCTTCATTTTAAACCATCTGTCAACTCCTGGTGCCAAGTTTTTTTTTTTTTTAATAGGGTTTTTATATATTATTATCATTTTCCTAAAGCATATAAATTATAGAGTAAATATCTTTTTTTGTTCCCTAACAAAAAACACGGTCCCCACTTTAGTCCCTTACAAAAATAAATTAGTCAGTTAGTCCCTAACAAATTCAAAGTGAACCCATTTAGTTGAAATCGTGGTCCCTCACAAATTCAAAAAAGATCCATATTAGTCCCTCAAAAGGATTAAAATGGGTCCACTTTGAATTTGTTAGGGACTAACTGACTAATTTATTTTTATAAGGGACTAAAGTGGGGACCATATTTTTTGTTAAGGAACAAAAATATGTTACTCTAAATTATATATAAAACATTCTAATCATCATGGTATAATATTTAATGTGCATATATATTGGGAAGGTACCTCTCTTCTTAAATATATATGATATATTAAATAAATAAAAAATGGCATTTAATTATAAGCAGTAAGTTATAATTAGACACAATTTATGGTAATTTCATTTATGTTAATAATCATAATAACATTAACTTTTAAGACAAATCCATGTTTTGGGCGTAATACCAGCCGAACTTTCCAGAGAAAAGTTTAATATTCTAGCTGTTACAGTTTATGGAAGTCAGATAACTTTGAGCCATCTACAAATTTCAACTATAATTATATCTAAAATGCATACGTTAAGATTGACTCAATTGAAAAGATCAAGTGATATTACTTAATAGAAAAGTATTCGGCTAAATTCTTGCTATTAAACTGGTATTGATAAGTCATATATAAAAATTATTACAAATTATTACTGACGCTGGTAACTTTTTTTTTTTGTTGGTAAATTGTGATATGTGCTCTTGGAATAAGAAAAAAAAAATTGTCCTCTAATCTTTTAAATAAAAATAGATAAAAATATTTAAGTGGAGATTTATTACTGAATGCCAGAAACTCATTAATGAGAACTGGAAGTCAGATCTATTAATTCTCTATCATCAAGGCAAAATTTATTATTTGAAACGGCTTTTCCATGATTTGAGTTCTGACAATTTTTCTTTTAAAATAAATATTGAAGGCATATTCCAAAAAAGTTCTCTAATTAGTTCAAGTAATAAAGGATCTTTTGAGGGAGAGTTTGATAGATCTCTAATCCAAGTCATGATCGAATCGACACATTTATTTCCCTACTTAAATACTTCTTCATCCAAGCTCGATGTTATGACTATTTCAAGTATTTATCCCCACTAAAATACTTGAAATTGAAATTGACAAATACTTTGTAATTTGAAATTTGTACTATTTAATTAAAGAGTACTTGACATTTTGTTTGCATAGAGTAGATCAGTGTTATAAAAACTGACTCGACCCGGCCCATTTGATCGATTGACCCATAAATGAAGTCGAACTCCCAATTGAGTTAGTTTAGTTATCGAATCGGTTATACATTTGACTCGGTTTGAAACTGATAAATCCGTCTTGAACCAGGTTCAACCGACATTGATTTTTAAAAAAAATTAATTTTGTGAAATTTTTGACAAAATATTTAAAAAATATCACTAATAAGATTCGAACTTAAATCATATAAATTACAACTTATGACACTTACATCTAATCTAACATTAATTATTAACTAAAATGCTTGTAATTTTATATTTTATTGTATTTTATTATATATTTAATTCATACAATTGAACTAATAACCACGGATTGAACCGTTGACGTATTTACCCATAACACTGGAGTACATATATAGCATTGCCAAGCATTTCAGTCAAATTTCAAAGTAACCACTTGAAAATCCACCTGTCTCTTCGCCTTTAACCTCTCTGTGCGTTTCATTTGACTTTGCATATATAATTCCATTCTAAAACGCATATATGAATTTAAAAGGATAAAACATTTCTGCTATAAATTTCACCCCATATGTATGTAGCACCGATATCGACATGGGACACGGGACACGATATGACACGATACTCCGACACGTTAATTCTAAAAAATGTTAGATTTCGACACGTTAGGACACGTTTTGATAGTAAATAATATTTTTAATTTATGTAGTGTATATTATATTTAATATTCAATAATTTAAAAATAAAATAAAACTAAACTTATAATATTCATCAATTTTGCAAAGAAATATAATATATTATATTAAACTCAATAAAATGGTAATCGTAATTCAACGAATCTAATAGTTGGAACCAAAAACTCAACGTGGTGCAACCTTTGAATCTTTTTTGAATTTCTATAACGTGTGTTGGAGTGTTGGGGAGTGTCAGAGTGTCGGAGAGTGTCGAGAAGTGTCGGACACGACACGTCAGAATTTTTGAAGTGTCGGTGCTTCTTAGCCCCCTACTACCTAAACTATTAAAATGATAAGCGAAAATATTGATATTTTCATATTTTGTAATTGTTTATATGATTGATTTAATAGGAGGGTTATATTTACAATATCTTTTCACTTACAACTCTTACAATCAAATTTTAATCGTTGATTTCTGTCAATCTAACAGCTATAATTTACAACATCTTTTTTGTTTCTATAGCAAATTTAGATCAATTATCTATATTCACTCCTAAAACGACATCGTTTTAGTTGAAAGATTAAAAAATTATCATAAGAAAGACTATTATAACCCTAAAATAAATTATAATTACAAAAATATCTTGATTTTCACCCCAAAATGACGTTGTTTTGGGCTTAATGTAGATAATTTATCTATATTGACGGCAGAAAAAAAAACTCAAAAATTAATGATAAACATTTATGTGAGAAAAATTGTAAGTACAAAACATTTTTTAATAGCATGTGGAACATTTAAAGAAAAAATGTTCATATAGATGATTAAGGAGGAAATAAAGACAAGGACTTTTCCCAAATTATTGAGATTGTTATTCATTTTTGCATGTAAGCTTCAAAACAACTTATAATTTTCTGGTTGTGATTTATTTTTAGATTTTCTGGTGGTGTTTTTAAATGGAGTGTGTTGGACCTATTCCTCCTTCAATGTCCAAGGGCCATTGAGGGATTTGAAAAACCTTAAAACCTTCTTCCTCTCATATATAAGCATTAGTTGTGGGATAGAGGTAAGGTTGGCTTGAGAGACATTTTTTAGGTTTTTGTGGAAAAAGCTTAAAAGCTTTGATTTTGAAAGCACCTCTAGGGAGAAGCTTGAGTGTTAGACCTCCTTAGGGAAGTTTGAGAGAATACCATCATTATATAGTTTGAATGTACCACCATTTGTTGGTGAAGTTTGATATTTTATAACCCATTATTTTATAGAGGAAGTTTGATTCTGGACTAGTGTCCCGTGAATTTTTTACTTCTTCACATTGGAGAAGGTTTTTCCACGATAAAATCTGCTTGTGTTCATTTTCTTTCTCTTTCGCAATTTTCGTTTCTACTGCGTATAGGTCGACCTGGTGAGTTCAGTCCGACCACATTGATATCTGAGCTCTGAGCTCAATGTTTATCTTCTGCAAAAGGCTTCTAAGCCGAGATTGAGGGACCGAGTTCGTTCCAACAGTGGTATCAGAGCCCGATTTCGACAGGATTAAAGGAGACGATATGGAGGCTAGTGTAATTTCACTTAACGGTGACATATTCAAGCTGACTGCGAAAAACTTCACATACTGGAGACCTGTGATGGAAGACCATCTTTACTGCAAAGACTTGTATGAGTCCATCGTCCTTAAAGAGAGGCCTGGAGGAAAAACTGAGAAGGAATGAAAGATCTTGAGTCGGAAGGGGTAGCCACGATCAGGGAGTATATCGATAAAAGCCTCTTTGAGCACGTGTCCTAGTTCACGAACGTGTAAGAGTTATAGACGAAGCCAGAGTCTATGATTCAGAAGAAGACTCCCAGGAATAAAACACACCTGGTTCGCCGACTTGTGAAATTGGAGTACAACGATGGCGTGAGTATGATTGAGCACCTCAACACCTACAAAGGCATTGTGAATCAGTCGTCTAAAGCCGAGATAAAGATAGATGATGACATGCAGGCTTTGCTGCTGCTGAGCTCCCTGCCAGAAAGCTGGGATACTCTGGTAGTAACATTGAGTAACTCGGCTCCAAATGGAAAATTAAAGATGGATGTCGTGACTAACAGCCTCCTGAATGAGTAATCCAAGAGAAGGGAACGAGATGTAACCAACACATCTGAGGCAAACGTGACCGAGAATAGAGGAAGGTATGACACTTGGGGTTGTAGCAAGAGCCGGGTCATAATGGACATGATAAGTCCAGAGGCAAATCTAGGCCGAAAAATGAGTTTAAATGCTTCTACTATAAGAAGTCAGACTGCAGGACTCTGTAGAAAGACAAAAAGAACGACACTGTGAAGCCGGATTAAATCATTCCGAAGAAGAAAGAAGAAAAGAGCACGACTGCGGTGGTTGCCAATGCTGATGTCGAGATCTTCCTACTTGGTGAAGATAATTTTTTAAATATTGCATATGATGAATGCACCTAGATTGTTGACTCTGGTGCTTCCTTTCATGTTACTACGCATAAAGGTTTTTTCTGCTCTTAGAGAGGTGGTGATTTTGGAGTTATGAAGATGGGAAATCTGGTGACCAGCAAGACTGTTGGTATCAGTGATGTGACCCTGACCACGGATTTTGGGTGCCGACTTATACTAAAAGATATAAGGTATGTGTCTGACATGCGTTTGAATCTAATCTTGGTAGGCAAGCTTGATGATGTCAGTTAGTGAACTACTTTGGAATTGGTAGATGGAAATTGGCCAAGTGAAATTTCGTGGCTTCCCTAGGTAAGAAGGAAAGATCCTTATAAGTGATGCAATGAAAGTTTAATGGTGGAGAAGCTAACTCTGTCTCAGATGGACCTAACATGGAGTTGTGGCATAAATGCCTCGGCCATATAAATGAGAAAGGGCTCCAAATTTTGGACAAGA